ATGTGCTGGTGACAAAGCCATGGTGAATCAGGTATGAACAAAGACTGATCTCCGACCTCTCGAGATTGGGAGCCTTTCCGTTTCGGGATGCAACGGTCAGTGTGCAGTCGTTGGTTCGCGCAGGGCCTTACAAAGAATTCATCATTGAGATGGAAATAGCTTGACGGCCAGCCACAATGACTCGAAATGCCGTCGATTTTGCTGGCTGGCTGCTGCTTTGTCCCAACATCTCCCAGACCGGCTGGCGGCACGGTGGAAGCTTCGCCCACGTGGAGGACGCCACGATCGACGATGTCTCCGAGCTGGTGGTGAGCGGGTGCTCGTAGGATGGAATCAAAACTGAGACGAAGTCGACGGCGGCGTGATGTCGTCTGGAGTGTGGTCTCCTATGGGTTAGAGATGGGACGGAGCGAGACTTTCCAGCGCCGCGCCGTTTGCGAAATTCATGGTTCCGACTGCTCGGTGCCAAGCCACGCGCCGGAGACGACTCTATGGAAGATGGCTGTTGGAATGAATTGTTGGACTGCACGAGACCACGCGGTGATGAGAGACCTAGCTAAACCTCGGCGACGAAGCTCAGATCGATTCTGACCGACCCCAGTTTCAGACAGCCACATTACAATTAGGCACAAGCTGTGCCGTCGTTTGAAGACCCAGACGGGATAGTACGGCCGTACCGAGGTGTCTGTTGGAGGATCTGGATGAACGCTGATTAGCTACCAGGCCTGCCAAAGCCCGGAGGATGGGAGGCGTAGAAGCCTAGAAGGGTTAAAATGCATGATGAAGGCAAAGTCTGGGGGAGGAGACTCGTGAATCTGTAGTGCTGCAGTGCATGCTCCGAGATGAACTTGGTTGGGTGCGGTCGACCGGAGCGAAGCAGCAGGTGCCAGGAGCCTACGAATAGGAGGTCAGGACCCAAAGAGAAGGAGGCCACAGGGCGGGAGGTTTCTGGTGGTGACAACGAAGGCACGAAGGGTGACATTGGAGATGGGGAATTTACCCACATTTACCCCAACACTGCACCACTCATTCCCCAGGACCCAGGTGCCTGTTCCTGCCTATCCCAAGCGGGTGAAGTGGGGCTCTCTTCCGAGCATCGGTACGTACCGCACAGATATCCGTATCTCTTCTGGGAATCGGCAACCACCAAGCTTTTCAAGTCAAACACGCCGGCCTCCCAAGAGTCCAACCATGGCAAACCCAACACCGGGTCCCGTCCATAGGGCCTAGCCCAAGCTGGAAAACGGATGACCTGCTGTCTACATTCACCAGCTTAATTTACCGGTTTATGCCGTGCCTCCGCGACTCTGGCTGCCTACTTCATCTTTCCTTGAGCTCTTCGTTGTCGTTGGCCAGCCTCGATCCTCGGTGCTGACCTTTTTATTTTTTATATTTTTTATTTTTTGCCGCGGCGGATCATAACCTCGAGTAACCTGTTATTTTGTTCCAGCGGTGAAGACGCTTGGTATTGAATCCGTACAAGAGGGTTGCCCCCGAGGCTGATTGCCACTGACGGCATCGAATCATGTTACCTTTGCCTCCAACAGATCCGAGGTCTTGGTGCCGGCGGTCCATTGCCTCTGAAGGGGGTCAAATTGTGTTTCATCGATCGTAGTGCTCCAAGACTGCTACCTTGGACGGACTTGAGGGCGTTTCCCCGGCTGACCATGGCCTCGGGAGCTCTTCCACCCAAATGCCCAGAGGTTCTTCGACCAGGTCTCTCGTCTTGGCTTCTCGTGGGCAGGTACTATGCGGTCGAACTCTAATATATTGTTGGTATACGATCCTCCGCCACAGAGCGACGGATCTATGGATCTGGATGGCTCGACGAAGTAAAGGTGGGCAGATTACGGAGAAACACAAAGAAGCCTAGCGTATTGGTAACATGGAGAGAGCCCTATCCCGACTTTTTTCACTAATGCCTTTATCGAAACCCCTCACTTATCCGTATAGCCTACGAATACAGACAACTGCAGCAGTTCCAGACCACACTAGTCACAAAATGTCGACAGTCAACCACGCCTGCTCTCTTACCCCAGACTTACCTGCTTCAAGGGTCTGCCCCTGATGCGCAATATGCGTGATCGAAGGAGCTGAACCTGGTCGTTCATTTGGGGTTCTCGTCTGTGCGTTCCTGTCAGAATTAACATGAGCCGCCACAACGCCGCGTAGGAGAACTTTCCCCTGTCGACTCGGCCAGGGCGGCCCTTTTGAGCCCTAAGATTCGAGCAGATACCTTACGCACTCTGATATAGTCCTCCCTGCTGCTCAGCTGGGCGGTGACGACTTTGTCCGACCTCCCTGTCGCTGGCTTTGCCTGCTCTGGTGGTCTCGTCGACTGGCGGCCTGGGCATTATACAAAAAATATGAACGAAAGGAAGGAGGGGGATACTGACCTTGTAATTCACGCCCCTGCCCGGACTCGAACAGCGCGCCCCTCAGTCAACCCGGACTCTGACTTCATGGGAGTATTTGTTTATTTGACCATTCAACCACCTCGCACACATCCTGGCCTGACCTCGCCGACCTAGACGGGCGCTGCTGTGCTGGTGACGGGAATGGGATTGAGGGGGGGTATATAGTCTCAGCTCCACTTGGTAATGTAGGTTGAGGAAGGAGGGACGTAGAGGTGGGAAGGCACGGCTGAGCGAGGTCTGGATGGTAAATCCTCAAGATCGTGACCCAAAGGCGCGCATCTACTCAGGTAGCTTCGCCGCTCGTTGCAGCCGCCTTCACATCCTTGTCCACAAATCACTTCAGATTCAGGCAAACGTTGATGAAGGGCGAGAAGGAGAAGTCATCGCTCCGTATTCTGGTTTCTGGCCCGAGAAAAGCCCCCTTATGATTGAGAGTGATCTTCAGAGCCACTTTGGTGGCAGGAAACAGATATTGGCACGATTGGTAATAGAGAATCCCCCTCACTCAACTTTCCTCTTTGCAGTCTCTGGTTTTGCAATTCAGCCCTCACATGAAGACGTGACACACACAAGCCAACTGCCTCATTGGGTGACTGGTCTAATCAACGTGCCGCTTTCTTGACGGCGCTAGCGTCTGGGGTAATACATAGACCTGAACGGTTCTTTTCGGGAAAGGAGGGCGATGGCTTCTATCAGGGGTGTGTACGCCACCACGGCGACGTTCGCGAAATTTGAGCATTTCTTCCGAGGACGCTTTGACGGATGTAAGCTGAATCGGTGATGTTCCAGGGGTTGCAATTCGATGTTCCCCTCTGTCTGGTCCAGCCACGCGGGATAGACAGGAAGACCATGGTTAGTTACTGAAGGGGGCTAGAGGTAACAAGGGCGTGGTTGACGGGATCCAAAGGAAGCCGAGAGAAGCCCGGGGTGGCAGAGCTGTCGTCACATTTCACATTGCGGCGAAGGGCATATGCCTTCAAGGTGAATTTGATCAAGGCATGTCCGAGGCTTCCAACATACTCTTGTATTCAGGCCTTTTTTCTGTAAGTCTCTTCGGCTTGTCGTCTCGTCACGCCCAGCTGCCAGGGGAACGCAACTTGGCGCTCGAACAGCAACCACTGATATGTGGTCCAGGTAGAGAGGCACGGCTCGGTTGTTTAGACCGTTCTGGGCAGGAGAACGAGGCGGACTACTCCAGTCGATCTGTGAAGATGTCAATCGCCGAAGCCAAGCAGGTAGTCTGACTTCCCACCCGAGACATACTCGTCGTCGGTCGGTTGACCGTTGATCTACACTCTACCCTAGCACTATCTGGGTCTTCTGGAGTCTAGACCAGCCGCGAGCCAACTTCTAAGTGAATTCTAGCGCTCAGTGGAGGCCGGTCATTCTTTCGGCGAATCTAAGCCTGGTTCAGTATGGTCGAAGCAGTGGCGTCGTGATAGTCGGATTGTGCCTCAGTTGTAGTATTGCGATCGTTGTTCAATCTCATGGTCAATATTTGTGTTGAAGGAAAGTCAAAGGAGATATAACTTTCCAAACTCAGATGGAACTATTGCTTTTGAATGTACAGCAAAGTAATTTGGGATTGGACATTTTCAGATACGTATTTTGATGAACGGAGTAGACAGTGTAACCGGTGACCCCTTTGACTTACATCGCGAATCGATAGCTCTCATCTGGAATTTTCAGGTCGACTTATGCCTGCCAGACCTGATCAGAAAACCATAGCTGTTCAAAATTTTGGCTTTGGCGATTCGAAATGCTGAAGCAGGCTTTGTCCCATGTCTCATCCAAGGCCATCGAAGCGGCAGGTATCGCTTCTTTGGAGCACCCTCGTGGAAGAGGACAGAAACGACATGTCATCTCGAGAAGTCACAACGGCAGGGGAGCCTGCTTCATCGCTGTTGTGTCTTTGTGGGATTCGGCATCGTCTCATTGTTCGGTTTCGAGATTAAACGAGGGCGTCTTCCAGAGACGCCTTCTAGTTGCTTGTTCGTCGCATCAGGGAGTCTTTGCTTGTTGGCTTCTAGAAACTTGCCCTTCCATCGATGGAGTATAACATCTGGGCCGTTCCAGCTTTGTTGAAACTTCACATGTGTCGAAGGCCAGAAGATGCGCGAGGAAGCTTCGTAGGTACAACCAAGATAAAAATAAGAAGACTTCGTCAATAGACGGCCTCAGCTGAAACTCATAATTTCCAAGTATTCAGAGCTTCAGCAGTCTTGGTCTTGAATCTTCTCAAATGGCGGATAATCACGCATGTTAGTATCCTCGTCACGCTCCCAAAGGATACTCGACCTCTCCACGAGGAACGGCACGATGTCACGAGGTCACAGAATGTCGAAACGCGCGTCCAAACGCAGACACGCAAGCCCAGAACCGGACTTGAGTCTCACAGAAGGGGTCCCCATCATCAAGGCCCGTCGATACCCTCATCGGAAAGACGTCGAATATCACGCACCAGGAAGACACCGGTCGTTATATGAACACCATCCTCCTCCTCCTCGTTCCCCCAAACGCCACCGACACAACCGCCACATCGAAGCCAAGTCGGACACAGATGGCGATCTGAAGATGATTCCCATGCCACCAGAGTCGCCCTCGACTGCCCTCGTTCTCAGGACTGCAAGAACACCGGGCTATAAGAAAGACCACCGAAAGAACGACGACGACAGCTACCTGGATATCGTGAGGCGCCGCCGAAAACCTAAGCATAAGCCCGGCCTCGAGCTTAATCACGAGCCGGTGAACCACAGAGCCTCGAAACGTCGCCGCAGCATCATAGACGATACCGGACGCGAGCTACATCAGCAGCAACAGTGCAGCGACCTCGTCGTCGACAACTACCGCTTCCGTAACCACCTCCTCTCCCTTCTGGACGAGCAGCGTTCGTCGGTCGAGTGCTGGGCCCGCAGCGTCGGCGCGGGAGGCCCGGCTGAACCGATGGACTGGCAGCCCGAGCAGGAGCGGGTCGTGTACATCGCCCGCGACCTCGTGGAGTATGGCTGTTACGAGGACCGGTGGAGAATCGGCGGTGGGCAGGAGGAGCAACCGCAGCAGCAGCTGAAGGAAAGGCCGACGGCGCAGCTTTCGTCGGAATTAGTGTCGTGGGCCGATCAGATAGAGGATGGGTCGGACGTGTGTGGGGCGTCGGTACTTGGCTTAAGTCTTGTGGATGTGATTGAGTGAAGCGGGGGCTGGGCTGCATGAAGTCTAGACGTGGGTGTTGAGGATAGGGGTTCGTGAGCTTCTGCTGACGTTTGATAATGGAGGTAATCGGAGACACACGGAGTGTGAATGAAAGCATATCAGGACGGATGTTCGTCACTGCGAGAGTCAGTCACCACGAGGGGGAACCATATGAGACAGCAAAAAGCGCAACGAACTACTACTCCTATTCAAGTCTATAAGCCCATTAAACATGTCATTTTCACCGCGAGGGACTTTTTGAATACCTATATGGGTTAACATGCAAGTTTTGAACTAGACCAGTCCTAAATTCCTAACGCCTGTCCAGATGAAGTCCGACCGACCGTACCCATTGAAGCAAAAGTCAAATCTCGTGGGAATCTCGCAAATGTACAGATTCAACCGCTCACCCACCACTCTTCTTTACGCAACGCATACAATACTTTTTTCTCCCGTTTCTTTTTCACATTTATTTCGCGTAGCGCGAGTACTCGGCAGCGACGAGGCAGTGATCACGCTCGAAGGGCTCTGTGATAATGTGTTAGTCATGGGGGGTTTTCCACTTCCAGGGAGGAAACAGGGGATTACGAACCTAGCGTAAGCTGCTCCTTGGGAGTGATGCGCTCTCCTCTCAGCTTCTCGACCTCCATGGCGAAGACCTTGTGAGCGGGGGCGGTACTGTCGATACAGTTGGCCTTGATGGAGATGAGGATACCACCGCCGACCTTGAGGAACTGGTGGGCGTTCATGGCGACGATACGGGCCTGGTCGGGCTGGGCAACATCGGCGAAGATGCAGTCGACCATGGGCATGAGCATGCGGTACTTGAGGGGTTGACGGGCGTCCTCAACAATGGGGACGACGTTGGTGCGCTTGGCGGCCATGCCGATCAGATCACGGCCGGAACGGGGGGAGAACTCGACAGCGTAGACGAAGCCGGTAGGACCGACGATATCGGCGACGTGGGAGACTGAGGTACCGGAGGCACCACCGAGGTAGAGGACCTTGGAGCCGGGGCCGAAGTAGAGCTTCTCGAGACCACCGATGACGGCGGCGGCCAACTTGGAGCGGAAGGGGTTCCACACGCGGTACTCGATCTTGGTGGTTGTGGTGGTGCCGTCCTCGTTCTGGGTTTGGTTGTCGACAGAGACGCGCTTCTCGCCGTAGACAGACTCGCCGGGGACAATGTTGCGGGTTGCGATGGCGTCCTCCTTGCCACGGACAACGAAGACACCCTCGTGACGGTGGGGCTCCTGCAATCTTTTGTTAATGGACAAATCCTCACCGAAAGAAGAAAAGCCTTGAGTTGTGACATACCACGATGACCTTCTGACCTCCCTTCTGACCGCCAGCAGCACCACCACGGCCGCCTCTGCCGCCCTTGGAGACACCTCCACGGCCACGGCCGCCGCCAGGACCACCGCGACCACCGCCTGCAGGATCATGTTAGCAAACTCATTCTTTCGCACTCGACATCGCGAAAAGCAGATTCTCTCAAGAACTTACCACGACCACCACCACGTCCACCGAAACCGCCGCGGCCACGGTCACCACCGAAGCCTCCACGGCCACCACCACGGCCGCCGAAGCCACCACGGTCACCACCACCACGTCCGCCGCCGAAACCACCACGACCGCCGCCGCGACCACCGCCGCCACGAGGAGTGAAGGGAGCCATTGTCTTTTAAATATGTGTCGGGTAGCCGGAAAAGACTAGTTGTTGCAAAAAGAAAGAGAACAAGACTGGCAGTTCCCAAGTTGCGAAAGAAGAGTCCAATTGGGGGGTGAGAGGCGCAGATAATGCTAATCCTCTTGGTGGCGGGTTGGGACAACTGGATACTGGGCTGGGTGTTTGAAATTTTTCGTCGGACTTTTTTTCTGAGAGCTTCAAGAGTACGCACGGGCCAAACTGACAGAAAGATTGTGGGGTCATCAAGGTGATTGGGCAATGCGGATTTTCAGAGGAGCCGCCTTCCGGCAAGTTTTTTTTTTGCGATTAGATAAGAAGGGACTCAAGGCCCACCTGCAAAGTGGGGTCTCACGTTCGGGGAGAGGCAGGAGCGTCAGAAACCAGGTGGTGGTGTCCAGTACCTGGCTTGCAACGGAATTGAAGAACACCTCAAAATATCATCCTTTCCATTTGTCCCAACTCCCCAAGCCGCAATCTCATTCCAAAAAATCCAAACGAGACACCAGACTGTTCATCAGTTCATCGGACTAATCGTGAGTCTCATCAGATTTTCCATTGCAATTTTCCCCCGGCCAAAGCTGGAAGAAATCGCCCATTTACCCCATAGGGTTGCGGAACCCTAAGGCCGACCCCCCTGCCGTTTCCCGATCCGCAAGCGAGCCAACCCGGCGCAGGAGGGCTAGGGTCAACGAAAGTTGTGAATTTCTTCTAACCTCACTCTGACAGCCAGCCCACGACCGACCACCGACCGACCACCGAAACCATCACCACACCCAACGATCAAGATGGTAAGTCGCACCGCCGCTCGCTTTCCCTATGTTCCGCGTCGACGAGAAAGAGGAGGAAATCTGTGCATTCGACGAAATTTCGACCCTGTTTGCAGCCGCCGAGACGATTCCCTTGCCCCTCGTCGAAAGAGGGTCGAAATTTCACGATGTCAAAGGAAGAGAAAAAACTGGACTTGTGACTCAATCATGTCACTCATGATGGTCGACCAAGAGGAGGAATGAGGAACATTGCCGAACACATGGGGGCATACAATGCTCGTTATATCCCAGAACCCAAAAGACTGACCCTTATCGTCACAAATTCAGGTTCGCTACGCCGCTCAAGAGATCGCCCCCGCGAAGTCGGCCCGCGCGCGCGGTGCCTACCTCCGTGTGTCCTTCAAGAACACCCGTGAGACCGCCCAGGCCATCAACGGCTGGAAGCTCCAGCGCGCCGTCACCTTCCTCGAGAACGTCTCCGAGAAGAAGGAGGCTGTCCCCTTCCGCCGCTACGCCGGCTCCATCGGCCGCACCGCCCAGGGCAAGGCCTTCGGCGTCACCAAGGCCCGCTGGCCCGTCAAGTCCGCCGAGTTCCTCCTCGGCCTCCTCAAGAACGCCGAGTCCAACGCCGACGCCAAGGGCCTCGACACCGGCAACCTCGTCGTCAAGCACATCCAGGTCAACCAGGCCCCCAAGCAACGGAGACGCACATACCGTGCCCACGGTCGCGTATGTTCTACCACCCGAACCTATCCTTTTGAAGGAGAAGGATAGAGACCAGCAGCAGAATGTCGACGAACTAACACATTGCAGATTAACCCCTACATGTCCAACCCCTGCCACATCGAGCTCATCCTCACCGAGGGCGAGGAGGTCGTCCAGAAGTCCGAGGCCGTCGCCGGTCGCGAGGACGTCCGCCTCAACTCCCGCCAGCGCGGTGCCCGCACCCGCCAGGCCATCACCGCCGCATAAACGAACCTCCCAACTCTTTAATCTTTTAAGAAACGGATCTTCGATTTTTGTGGCGTGTGTGCGGTTCATGACGTGAGCAAAAAGGGTCGGCGCGAAGTGTGGACAAACGCGGTACACCACAACAAAACCCCCCTAGGGATAGATTTGGTCTTTGGGTCGTGGATGGATTGCGTGGATTCAAAATACAAAAAAGAACTTTGCGGCTTTTCATATGCTGGTGTACAGGAAGGCTATGGTCTCATGGCATTTAGGGATTGGCATGCGAATTCACACGCGCAACGGTCTGCATGGGCCACCAATAAACAAACATGCAACAATGATTCCCCCCATGGTGGTCCCTTAGTTTACCATGATCGGCATCGGCGTCAAACGGTTACGAGGAAATGCATTCAATTTTGGCCTGCTTCTATATCAAATCACCCCAAAAGATGTTGCCCCTGTGATGGGTATGGAACACTACCCTGCCCGAATGTCAGTGTAGTCGGCGAGGACCTCTGCTACTAGAACATCCAGCGCCACCAACACTGAAGCTACCTCGTGAGTTTGTCAGGCATATTAGCCATGGAGCCACTTTCAATGACGTTGAAATAACTATCAATGCTTAAACCACAGGCCCAGCTCAGAATACCCTGACTATAGTCACTCTGAAGAACAATCCCGTTCTGGTCAACTGCAACTCAAGAGAGAGGCCCGTCAGCCCAGCTTCGGACAGGGGGAACCGTGTAAAAGTGCACACGCATCGCGGCATTCCATTCTTCAAGTTGCCTACGTTTCAGGCAACGTGATTGTGTTATCAGCTTTTGTTGTCTTCCTAATATAAGGTGACTACGGAGTTATGGGTCCTTCATCCAGTCATTATCCCGCCCGTCTTTCCGTCCCAATTTTGAGCCCGTGGTATCTTTTGCCAAAAACGCCGAAAAATTCCAAAGACTCCCGCAGCCCACCCAAATCCCAATTGTTCGTTATACAGTTTTCATCGTAATCAAGCGGTGCAGCTAAACCTGCTCAGCCATCTTGGTAATCATGCCCGTGATTCGTCCTCTTCCAGGGTGGACGATACCATCCCTCTTCGCAGCTTCAATAACCTCCTCATCGTACACACCGGTCCACTCCGTGTCCATACCAAAGGCGGTCGAGAGGTTAAAGTGCTCCTGGTTGCTGAGATAATTGGTTATCTTGGCCGCCAGCCTATCGCCGCAGGACTGCATAAAGGGCATGAGCTCCCGTCGACGCGCAGTCACTTCCGCAGGCTCTTGCCACGGGGAGGTGGTTGGCATGATGCTATGATTGTCAACCATTGGAATGTCCAGCACCACGTAGCCGCAAGACTTGAGAGAGATGTGGTGAATACTGAGCCGCTCCTTCTCTCTGACGAGACTGTGCGGCCGCGGCAAGAGCGAGAATCCGTCATCCTTGCGAACAAAGTCGTCCACCCAATCCTCTTCGTCATCTTCGGTACCTTGACCGACCATGATCTCTTGAATCGGTGGAGTCGGTGCGAGACGTTCAATGATGCCGGCCCAAGACAGCAGTCGTGGCTGTCTTAGTCGCATCCTACCCCAGCCGGCCATTGGATCAGGTGGAGGTGGAGGCGGCGCCGCGTTGTTAGCCACATTGGCATTATGAGGAAGAGGTTGCTGCATCATCATGCCAGCCAGATGCGCGGGCAAGAAGGCAGGAGCATGCAGCGGGCCCTGCGGGGCCACCACTCCGGCCGGAACACCTGGCGCACCCCCGAAACCCGGGTTGGCTTGCGGCTGAAGAGGTGCCGGCGGCAACGGAGGCGCCTGGTTCTGACCCGCGGCTTGCGCACCTTGAGCCTGGCCATGCCCGTGAAGTACAATGCCTGGACCATGTGCCGGGCCAATAACGAGTGCAGGTCCAAATGCATTCTCGGCAACAGGGTTTCTCGTGGGCGCGCCCGTGAGAGACACACTTTCGAGTTCCAACTTTTCCAGAGACTCGGATGCCATCGTCCGCAGAACCTGCAGAAAGACGTGAGGCGCCGAGTAGCAGTTCTTGAGCGAAAGGTGTCTGATGTGCGGTAGAGTGAGCAAGGCGTCTGGCGACTTGGCACCTTCAGGATGAACCATCTGCATCGGCGAGCAGAATGGAGCAGGAAGCACGTATTGATTCCGCTGGGTAATGCCGGGTGCAAACTCGCCACCGCAAATCCACTCAAAATGGAGGAACTTGATGTTGAACTGCGTTGCGATGTGGTCCTGAATCAAACGGTGAACCTTAGTCACCGCGTCGACGGGCGAGACGAAGTTGTCCTCGACGCAACCAGGTGCGACTTTAGACACCTGGCGCCAATCGGCTACAACAGCAAGGGCAACGTTGGTCAGATTGGGCAGACTCTGCCAGAAATCCGATCTCTGGAACATGTAGACATGGCTGCTTGGAATCTTGGCGATCGTCAGGGTAGTCAGAACACTGAAGCTGTTCATCCGAGCGTTGTCGATGAGGGCGAGAACATAGGACTGAATGAGAGCTCGGTGGGCCCATTCCAGCTCCAGCAGCATCTCCTTCTGAGCTCTAGTCAAATTCCTGGGCTGTAGTGGATGGCCGGCCGTGAGCTCATTAAGCACAGTGGCCGCCGCTCTCGCCTCAGCGTTCGCCTCAGCAATTTCGTCGTCATGGTCAGGCGGATCGAAATCAGCAGCGTTGAAGAACGGGGCAGGTTGACCCTGGGCGATGAGTTGAGCAATGTTGGCAAGGTTGTGTTGGTTGGCGTGAGCAGCTACGCTGGCGCGAGCATCAGCGGTAGTCTGGGCTGCATGGGCAGCCGCATGAGCGGCAGCGGCAGTGGCGGCGGCGGTACGTTCGTCAAAGTCAATGTTAGTGAGTGAGACGTTCTCGGTGCTCAAGAGTATAGCAATCGCGTCCTTAGCCTGCTCCTGCGTATACCCGGCATTCGTGACCATGGCCTCCAGCACCGTGTACTTGAAATCTCGAGGACTCTCAAAGGCGAGCTTTCGGGCGTTCATAGAGTCTGAGTCGGATCGCGCTAGGCGTCGCTGCAGGTTTCGGTATCGTAGATTGCGAAGGCCAAAAACCGGGTGAGGTAGAGGAGGGCTCTCCAGCTGCTGATCAGGACCCAGAAGGTAGCCCAGTCCAGCATCGCAACACAGGCCAAGTTCCTGAACCCGTACCAGACACTTCAAGGCCTCCGTCATGGATGCTGTCTCATCGGCAGTCTGCTCAAGCCCCTCGAGCTCGGCATACCGATTGTACGATTCATGAGGCCAGCGGTAGATACCCCAATACGAGGTAACGGCTTGCTGAGTCGGTTTAATGGGAGGGTAGGCGAGGCTCTCCTCATCCAGCTCGAGCGACAGGGCAAATCGAAGAATATGCTCGCCGAAAGACTGGAAAATGCGCATGCCGCTGGAGAAGAGAGTGTCTTTTCCAAGTTGGGGCTGGCCTTGACCTCCATCGTCCAGGTACTTCTGCTTTCTCGCCTTGTACATCTCCGATCGGAAAGGAACCACAACGTTGCGGAAGTATTTGGAAGAAATCATCTTGTCAAACTCGTGATTGACCAAGCGGAGGTTCTTAACATCCGGTCGGGAAAGGTAGGTTGTGATTTCGTCAAAGATCTCGACTGGGACCCGGCCAATGGGCCAGGTGAGCTGAGGAGGGTCTGAAGCCATGGCACCCTGTCCTCGTATCCGCCGGCGTTTGCGGGGCATTTCCGAAGAAGCAGGTGCCCTTCTGTTCATTTCGACCGTTGTTTAACCAAGCATAAGTGCGCTTGGCTAGCTGGGCTTGGTGTTGATTGTCGAGGCTCAGTTTGGGAGTCGGAGGAGCTCGGTATTCATCGGTCGCTCGGCAGTGGGCTGTCGGGTCGGACGATTCGGGCAATGGGATGGGAGGCTGTAATAATTTGTGCTTGACAGAGGCCTGTCCCAAAGTCGAGTGAATATTGATTGATGACAGCAATGAATGGTTCGCTGGATAATTGTGCTTTGTGGCTACAGGAGCGCTTGGTCGGTTGCAAAAAATCGATCAAAGACCGAGTCGTCGACTAAGCAATCGTCAAAAGGCGCACAGTCGTCCTGGCTATAGAGTTAGCAATAATGTTTGATGATGAAGGAACTACTTGCTTTTTGCGTGCCTGGATATTGACGCTGCGTGATAAACAATGTGAATAATTCGCTCAAAGAGATATTTGGTTGAAGCGGGTTGTTGGAACGGGTTGTTGAAGCAATGAATTGGATAAAAAATCCCAGCGGAGAGGTGACAGCCAGCAGGAGCCGGGAAAAGTGAAGTCACTGGTGGCAGGTGCCCAGGTCGGAGGTTTGTGAGACCACTTTTTAGCGTCACCTAAGACAAAAGAAGCTGCACTATTGGCTGTTCGGATCAGCATGTGGCCCTAAGGTGGGGTTTTTCCTGGGGATCAGCGAGTACCTTACCTCAGCCCTTTCAGGTGTTCAACATGGGATTGTTTGGCAGTCGCGATCCGCTGTGCTTTTGGCGGGGTGCTTCTGGCAAGGACCGGGGCGGGGCTCCCGAGGTGGTGGACCCAGTCAGGGTCTACCTGAGGCAGAGCCTAAGGTAAAGTAGACTTGCACCGAGTGTCACTGATTCTTCCTTCTACATTCATCTCATCCACCTTATTGTTTGATTATTCTCATTCCCTTGGGACCTTAACTGATTCGTTACATTGTAGTCAACTCACCTTACGGATGCAGCAAGCACTTCTAATTGAGTTTGGCCTCCAAATTACAAAGTATGACAAAAGGGTGGCATATTAAGTTCACGCCGTTTACGGATTCGAACACCTTCACCCTGTTGATCCCCCTGCCTGTAAACATCAGAACAAACATTCACTCCTGCATCAATACAAACACCTCGGTGTGCTTCACGAGACTCAACAGACGACCATTCCATTACGAGTGTTATCTAGCGGCTTCAGTCTACTGGCCGACTTAATTTCCAGCCACAGCACAACAGTTCATCAATAGGATGATGACCTATATAACTGCCGTGGGAATACATGATGGTATATCGAATAAGAACAAACTATGACATATTTCTGCGGAAACCCAAAAACACCTCCAACGCCTTTCGAATCAGAACAATTGTTTCTCTGTCGCAGAACGGGTGCTAATCAAGCCGGAACGGTCTCATTGGGCGGGCCCAGAAAAGAACCAGTATCTAAAGTTTCTTGTAAGTCAAACTGATCCATACAATCTCGACTAGGGATGATTTCGACATACTGTGTAGCGTACTGGACCTCAATGTTAGCAGCCTGGCCCTGGCACGAAGCCGGCGCGCTGCCGCCGACGGTGTGTATCCTGTACACCTCCTGGACGTCCCCGGTGCTGGGCTCGACGGTACGAAGCCGGAGCCAGGGAACCGCCGCCTCGCCGTGCTGGCCGGACTGAGCCGTGAGGGGCGCGGGCATGGACGCGTTCTTGGCGCAGTACGAGTCGCCGACGGACGCGCCGTCGTTCTCGAGCATGAAGAGCGGGACGCCCTTGCCGGTGAAGAGGTGGTGGCCCGAGATGGCGAGGTTACTCGGCCCCAGGCGGCGGTTCGTCTCCTCCTCGGTGAGGTTGAAGTCCATGGCCACGACGGGCAGCTTGTCGAGCAGGTCCGGGTACAGGGAGCCGACGCAGCTGGCGTTGAAGAGGGTCGCGACGGCGCCGGTGGCGACGGGGACGGCTGTCGAGTTGCTGGTGTCGCAGGTGTAGTTCTGGGTGCCGCGGCCGATGGCGATGTGCATGAGAGTGAGGCCGTCTCTGGGCTTGCCGAGAGTCTGGGTTGCGGCTGGGCATGTGGTGTTAGTGTGTGTAGGTCTTTCTGGTTTTTACCAGGCCGCGGGATCTCTCAACTCACCTTCAGGTAGCTTAGCCGTGGAGAGATCACAGACTGGTGCGGTTGACAGGTACTTGGTGGCCTGAACCTTGGTCGCCAGCATGTTGAAGTACTCGGAGATTTGCTCGATGCTACCCGGTAAAGCGGCCTGGAGGTTGAGCGTGGGGTAGGCTGGCGCAGCAAGGGCAAGGGATGCCAGAGCCGGCACCAACAGTGTTGAGCAACGCATGTTGGTAATATGTGATTGCGTGTGTTGGGGGTGATAATGTGGAGTAGAAAGAGGCGGATGTCAAGGTATTCGATGATGTTCGGTTGTTGGTTAATGGTGTTGGTGATTATGCTTCGTTCCCCAGAAGAGTGGAAATATCGAACCAGAATTTCAAGCAAGTAAAAACCCAAACGAAACCAATGAAATACGAGACTAGGAAATAATGAAAAAAACTCAAGAAAAACCGAAGCAGATTCGTCACTCGATATATGAGATGAACCGTGGTAGATGGAAGGGGTGGGCTACACAAGTTCCGTAGTGCAGGCGGGCAGCCGTTTCTAATATACCACGACATCCTCAAATCGCTTACCTCCTCCCGCCCCGGCGGCAAAGAAACGGCCACCAGTGCATCTCATTAGGGCCCTAGGTTCCTGACCTGCCCAGAATGGCATGGTATCAATGGAAGGTTACAAAAAAAGATGGCGGGGGGGGAAGGATGTTCTAGCCGGGGGAGGGGGGAAGAGTCTGCCGCCGTGGTGTGCGAGGCAACGGCTCGGTATTCGCAGCGGCTGCCATGGTTCAAGACTGGCAGCCGCCATGCCATGCAACCGTACGACGGGCGGGAAGAGGACATGAGGGACGAGGATGGGAACGAGGACGAATGAGTGGAATGGCGGAGATGCAAGTAATACCAGCGGGGGTGTGTGGATGCCAGGCGATCTTCGCCGGGGTCAGGGGAGATGCAAGCGCCCGGCCCGCTTCAAATGGCCTCGTTGTGTGGTGACAGGTAGCGACGCGCTCCACGTTTTTGAAGATGGTGTCGTGCTGCTCGCTGCTTAGGACTCGAGGATTCGAGTTCGTGGCAGAATATTGCCGTCTGCTTTCTATGGACTTAAGTTGAGACTGGACTACTTGCCTAAGGTATCTGAGGTACCAGGAAGATATCATTTTTGGACGAGAGGACTATCTATGCGAGTAAAGATGCCTAAATGAAGACGACTTCAAGTGTCATCTTCTGGCAACCGTATACCCTACCTATCACATAGCACTTTTCAGTCCGCCTTTGTCCTTCTTGATCCGACTGTTCACTCGCATCAACATGTTGGAAATCGATGAAAGGCAAGGCCTGCCTCATCTGGACTTTGACCGAGTGTGTGTCTCTCTGTGTGTGTATACCCATGTGAGCGTCCTTCTCAATAACGAACCACAGCGGCTAGAAACCTGAAATAGCAACAAGAGAGATCGCGTCAACCCTCACACCTGATAGGCCAAACCAGTTGAGATTACCCAGGGACGGTACCACCTTGCCAGAAAAGTTGTACCCGTCTTTGGCCCGGCGACGCGCCCACGTTGCAAGTACCCGCTCTTGTACATTTCCCAAGGTCAGGTTTGCTTTCTTTTGCCGCGCTTCCAGCTAGGGCCGCGGCAGCCTCTCATTGGTTGCAAGGCCCATGTCCCCACCCGGGCCGCGTAGACGGGCCAGCGTCAAACGGGAATCCCTCGTCGAATGAGAATTGTCGCTGGTCTTTTGGTACATTTGAGTGGCAGCTCGGGACTGGAGAAAGCCTTCCACCCTACCTTAGGTTCAAGCGGGAAGGAAAACCTAGAATAGAACATCGTGGTGGACCGGGTGGGGAGCCACGCTTTCCCACGCTGCTTGACGCCATCTAACGTAAGGCATGATCTCGACCAGATAATCTCGGATAATGCAACAAAGTTCCCGTTCATCCCCGGTAGCTGATATTCAAAGTGATCTGGAATCTGTGTTCTGACAAGATCCCTCACTAAGCCAAGTTAAAGTACTGCGGTTCATACCACATGTCCTAACGCCCAATCGTACAGTTGTCGGTAAAAACAAGTTTTATGCATACAGTTTTCGCCCACATAGAGTCGTTCGTCGCTGGCTGAATCAACATCCGTCACGTTTCCCTCTCTCTCGGCGTCAATCTAAGTAGACACCTTACTGACCACCGTCTAGTGCCCACTAAACCCCTCCTCTTGCCAGTCGCCGTGGCCGTTTCCGGCCCCTCCCTTGAGGCCCCCGGCGCCCGCGGCGGCGGCTCCTGCTACCGACTTGCCAAGGTTGCTGGCGTGCTGCTCCACGTCCACCGTGCCGAGCCAGTATAGCGAGCAGAAGACGAGTAAATGCAACGCGACACAGTATGCCGCAAATAGATTTCTACTAGTCCGAGAGGCCAGCACCATTCGCGTCACTGAGTACACCACTCGTTCGGGGAAGCTCATTCGCTTGTAGGCTCTGGCAGACTCCCGCCCTCGGAAAGCGGCAAATGGCGAAATATTCGATTCATATGCCTTTTTGTATCTGTCCATTGTAATTCCCGGGTTGCCGCTGCCTCCAATGGAAACCGTGGAAGGGTTCGGGTTAGATGAGAATGCCGCTGAAGACGACGTTGCTGAAGGTCCGGCCCGATTGTATGTCGAGACGTACCTCGTCTTCTCGTAAAGACTGAGATTGTCCTTTTGAAGAGCTGATACTTCCTGTCTCAGCTGCGAGACGGTGCGATGCGTGTCCGACAACTCGCTTTCTAGTTCGGCAATTCGCTTTTTGAAACGGTCACGTTGGGCTGTGATCATTGGCAGGATGCCAGAGCCGCCGCCCATGGGCTCTCCTCCACCACCCATACGTGGGTCAATTCCGCTGATGATGGACGACGTTGGCGAAACTCTTCCACCGCCGCCTCCTCCCCTTCGTCCCGGTGCAATTGATGGGGCGTAGCGGTTGAATGTTCCTGCCACCGACGCGCCGGAAGGGAACGCGTTGGACGACTCTGACTGCAGCGTCGCGAGGTCGTTCTCGAGTCGCTCGTTCAGTTTCTGCGACTTCTCGAGGTCCATATTCGTTCGCGACATTTCCTCCTGGAGGTCAGAGAGCTTAGTCTGTAAGTCTTGGTGGGAAACGCGCAGGATCGTCAGCTCGTCACCGAGCTTCTTGTTTCGTGCCAAGAGAAGCTTCTCCAAAGTGTCACTTTGGCCCTTGGACTCTGTGGCACTTTCGACCACATCCTTCAAATCGTCATCGTCGCCCGTGGAAAACTCGATGCTCTTGAGCACCTCAAGCTCCTGCTTCACATCGTCGTAGTCACTCCACTTCTGCACCTTGGACTTGAGGTTGTCCCTTTCTTCCTTGAGCAGGCCAACCTCTCTCTCCAAGCTGCGCAGCCTGGAATCCAGATCACGCTTGAGCCCCTCCTTCTCAACCCTGCTAGCATCGAGTTTCCGGATGAGTGATGAATTTTCCGACCGCATGCGCATGTAAGCAGGGTCGTCTTCCAAGGATGTGGGCGTCTGAGTGGTCGCGGATGACTTTGCCTGCGCCAATTCCAGTCGCAGTTGCTCGTTCCGGGCCTCGATCTCGGCCAGGCGCTGACTGGTTCGGTCAAGGTCTGAGTGAAGCATCTCGATTTCGGCACTGGTGACGTGGCCTGCCTGGCCTTCCGCATCCCCATCGTCTGTCTTTCCGAGGCGCTGATTGACTTCGTAGCTCGCCTTGATCTCGGTGAGCAGACGCTCCTGGTTCTCGACCTTTTCTTCCAACGTCTTCTCCTTCGCGGCCCAGTTGTCCTTCTTTTCATCGAGCACTGCCACCCACGAAGCCTCCACCTCCTTTACCTTGCTATCCAGGTTGTTTTCGAGCTCCCTCTTCGCGGCAGATTCTGTCTGCAGCTTGCTCTCGGTATCCTCAAGCTGGGTCGTCAGCTTAGCGACGGACTTTTGTAGGTGCTGATTTTCCTCAGTCAGCTTCGGAAGAGTGTCTTCAGACACGAGCATGGAGTCGACCGACGCTTCAAGGAGCGGGTATGGATCAGGCGCATCGGATAAGGATGTGTAGGTCTGGAGGAAGGCCGAGTTGATTGACTTTGAATGGTTCGTAAGGAGATCGATGAAGGTTTGGTACGCTATTCGTTTAGTAAGAGCAACACTTCGGCAATGAAGACGCCATACCTTTCAACAGGCCTTTGATCTCGCCCAGCTTTGTTGCATCATCAAGTTTCCTGAAGTCCTTCGTTTTTTGAGCTAGTTCCTTTCTCTGGACGGTCGAGTCTCGCTGGTATGTGACGATCTCGGAGGCAGTGTTGTCGAGGTTTGCGACAAGGTTCGTGTAGTCGATAGCTAGCTCGGTCAGACTGTATTTTCAAAGTAGTATCCAAGGGGTTCCCTCACTTCTCCAGGCCGAGATGGCATGCTGGAATTTGTTGCCGCCCTCGGGTAGGTTGGGAGCGTCCGAAGGTGCTTCTGGCTGCGGCGCGTTGGCATTGGCCGCCAGGACGGATTCTACGTCTGCCATGTTGAGTCGGTTTTCTCGGTCGCAACTTGAATGATCACTTCATCACCGGGAGACCATGGAACTCCAAGAAGTCGAGATTGACGGCGGGGTTGAAGAGTTGTTTCAATCCGCCAGTGTCTGTTGTAGCTGTTGTCGTTCGGTATAGATCGAAAGTGTTTCGACTGAGCTCGCTGGTTCGGGGAACGTGTTCCCTTTCTGGGCAGCAAGTTGATTGGCTGCGCACGGCATGCAGGGGTTCAGAGGCAGCAGCAGCTGGTCGTTTCCGTCCCTACGGGGCCGCCCCAGGCACATGCCTGCGCCAGTACCTTTAGCACAGCGACCCGGTTACCCAGGACAGGTTGGCTACGTAATCCGCCTACGGTTAGCTGTAGGTACCTAAGGTGATGTACCTACACTACCTCTGGACCTTGTCATCAGATTACCAGCCCAGCTTCGGAGCTTCCCAGCTGCATCATATTCCCAGCAGAACGACCCTTTCACGCTTCAAGACGACCGTCGCATGAGCTCGACAATGGCATTACGGCACTCATGATAGCACGACTGAGTTAAAATGGCATCCGAGGACCCAGACGACCAGACCTCCTCTGCGTCCGGGAGCTCCAATGCGATCGCCCGCAATGACGGGCCCTTTGTCCTGCGCACATTGTTGGAGGATGTGCCGTTATCGGCAGATGGCGCTGACGAGGGGACCAAGATCAATTGTGTTGAATACCTAGGTAGAATATGTGACCTCTCCCATGGCTCATCACGGTGCTGACCATCCTCCCACCAGACCACAACCTATACATCGGCACGAGCGCATCCGAATTGCTTCATTTTGTCCAGATCCCAGCCGACCCCGCCGATCCGGCCGGACGACCATCTTTTATACTTGCCTCCCGTCTGCGGCCGGCCTTTGCCGAGAACAGCAACGCCCTCCCAGGCATCCAACAAATTCTCCTTCTGCCCAAGGTCGGAAAGGCTTGTGTGCTTTGCAACCAGACCGTCACCTTCTACTCTCTGCCCGAATTCAGCCCCGTATTCGGAACTACGCAGGTGAAGAACTGCAATTGGGTTGGCGGAGTGGACTTGAACGATCCCCAAGATGATGTTGACGAATCCGCTGCAGGAGTATTCATCCTCCTATCGTTGATGCGAAGGATTCAGGTTGTGAGGATCGGGGAGGTTGCAAGAGCAGTCAAGGTACGCAATGCCTCGTCCTGTAAGCAATGATTGACTAACGCCTATTTAGAATATCGACGTACCCGGGACTACAATATCGATCCGTCGCGACTCCATTGCCTGTGTTGCTGATTCACGAAGTTACTCCTTGCTCGATGTTGGCAGGCAGCTTAGAATTCCGCTCATGACCATATCCTCCTTGGACGACTCACAACCTGCGGGCGAAATAGGTCAGGCTCAAGATATTGCAGGCAGTGTAGATGGTGGTATCTTGAGAAGTGCATCGGCCGCCCACAACCGGCCGCTCCTCTCCGCTGGTGACCCTCATGGCCATGCTAGAAGCACGAGCCTGGGCGGTCTGCTCAGCGGTGGACGGAGGGACCTCAGCCCTCGAGGAGCCGATGATAGCGCACGGCAAGGATCTTCACCACCAACTCCATCTACCAGTCCAAGACCTTCGGGCGAAGGCCCCTTGCCGCCGCCATTAACAGACAAGCCCTTGCCAGCGGCGCCTGCAACTGCTCGCGCTGAGACGTCTCCAACAAAGTCGGCTCCCGTCTTCCTCAAACCCCACATTGTTTCGCCAACAGCTGAAGAATTCCTACTTGTCACTGGCACTGGACCCTTGGACCCCGGCATCGGGATGTTTGTGAACCTTGACGGAGACCCAACGAGACCGACTGTCGAGTTTGACAGATACCCGCGGGAAGTGGTGGTTGACGGTGGGGCCTCTAACCAGGCATCGTCCAGGATGGCACTGGAGCAGGATGAGGAGGGATATGTCATTGCGTCCATGACGAAGGACTCGAAGGCAGGGCTCCGTCACGGACTGGAGATCCAGAGATGGGATTCGGACGGGACGGACCCAGAAACTTCTAAGTGGTGGTTGGAGACGGAAACATCAGGAGGAGATGAAACGACACCTTTGGGGATTCGCTCGCTGATGGGTACCGACGAGACCCATTTCGAAGAGATTGTCGAAAGACTTTGTCAGAGGAAGTTTTCCCCATTTCCTGGAGGCCTTGCCGAAAACCCGATATTCTCACCGAGAAGCGCAGACTCTCGCACCGCATCATCTCTAGAGCAGATGACGAAAGAGCGAGAACTGTTTGAGCGTGATGTAGACTCCCAGGAAGAAGACGCATTACCCGAAGGGTGGGAAGAAAACAGAAATGCTGAAGAGAGTGAGTTTGCAAGACGACTGGCAAATGCCAACTCCAGGATAGCAGTATGGGCGAAGGATCATATTTGGTGGGCAATTCGGAACCCGACATTGCTGCGACTAGAAGCCCAACTAGAAGCTGCATGCGAGCAAGACGGGACCTCAGACCCAGCCAAGCTCAACCGACGTGCAATTTTCACGGTACTCAACTCGTTTAGAGGGCAGGATGCCAAGTCAGAGCTGGAGTTTGTGACATTCAGTTACCTGCGCCAGCGTGCTGGCGTCCTTCTTCTTACCAACTTATTGCATGCGACAGAGGCGCCATTCACAGATGCTGAACTGAAAGCCTTGGAGGAAGTTTTGGTGGAGAGTAGCCTGGATCCTCGCGTTGTTTTGTCTTTGATACCCGGCCTACGGAATGAGATTGTGGAGAGCCGAAGAGGCATCTGGATCTTTGGCGGCGTTAAGAGAACAACAGAGAACTACTTGGAAAGCGAGCATTTCCACAAAGACAGTCACTCAATAGGGGACCTCGACGGCAAAGTCGTGCAGTTTCTACGGCGGTTCCTAGCCGCATGGAGAAAGAAGAAGGGATTCGGCAGCGTTGCAGACGAGAGCGAGGTGTTCCGGACTGTCGATGCCGCGTTGTTGCTGGTCCTCCTCGAGCTCGACCAGACTTCACCCGCTGGCCTGGCGAGGAAGAGCTCGTCGGTCCGATCAGAGTTATATGACGTTGTCGACAAGGGGGTGGACTGCTTCGATCGAGCCGCCTCCCTTTTAGAATCATACCACCGCCTGTTCGTACTCAGTCGACTGTACCAAAGCCGCAAGATGGCGGGGGACGTTCTTGCGACCTGGCGGCGTATCGTCGAGGGCGAGGCCGACTATGGAGGCGAGCTGCAGGATGGAGAACAGCGCGTCCGTGAGTATCTCACGAAAATTAGCAGCCAGGCCCTTGTGAGGGAATATGGTGTCTGGCTCGCGAGTCGCAATCCGAAGCTAGGCGTACAGATCTTTGCAGAAGATAAGGGCAAGGCGCCCGGCTTCGAGCCAGCGGAAGTTGTGGCCATCCTTCGTGAAGAGGCTCCCGACGCAGTCAAGTACTACCTGGAGCATCTTGTTTTTGGCAAGGGGCACACTGGTTATGTCAACGACCTCATCGCCTACTACTTGGACATTGTTCTCAGCGATCTAGAGACATCGCAAGAGAGCCGAGACGCGTTTGCCGGCACATACACGTCATACAGAGCATTACAGGCTCCCAAACCGACATATCGACAGTTCCTCACGGATAACGCTCCCGAAGACGACGAGGTCTGGCAGAGCCGGCTGCGGCTATTGCAGTTGCTGGGTGGTGCACACCAGTACGACGCCGCCGCCATCAGGGAGCGCATATCGGCGCTGCCGGACGAGCTTCTCGTCCCCGAGACCATCATCCTCGACGGCCGCGAAAGACGTCACGAGGATGCCATCCGGCTTCTCGTACACAAACTGGGCGACTACGACACGGCTGTCTCGTACTGCCTGCGCGGCGGTTCGAGCATCTACACCCGCCCGGACGGCAGGCGGGAGAGTACGCCGACGCACGACATGCAAGCGCGGCTGTTCCGGGCTGTCCTCGGCGAGTTCCTCGCCATACAGGACGTCAGCGACCAGATTGAGCAGACGGGGGCGCTGCTTGAGCGATTCGGGGGCTGGTTCGACGTCGAGGATGTGCTGGCGCTGATTCCCGACCAGTGGTCCGTCGAGGTCGTGGCCGGGTTCTTGATGACGGCGCTGCGGCGCATCACGCAGGAGAGGCACGAGACGACGGTCACCAAGGCTCTCAGCTCGGCGGAGAATTTGAGGGTGAACCACGACTTGATTGTCAAGGTGGATGAGAAGGGACCGTCGATTGAGGCACCTAATTAGTGGCCGTGTAGCCGTGGTTGATGTCTTGGAGGTTCGAGAAGAGTCCTGTTTTGATGTAGAGTAGATTTGGTCCGTAGAGGACAGACATAGCAAGGCGGGAGAAAGCACGATAATGATGATGCCCTCATAGACTTTGCGCCCTATATTCGGTGGTACCAATGCAGGTGAGAGGAGAGGGGCTGCTTGATCTCTTGGCAGTATAGGTATTTGGGGTCACAACACACTGTTGTCGTGGATCGGAACACGCATTACAGGTCACAAGTCACCCTGAATAAGCCGCCACCGATGCACTTCAAGGAAAACTATTCAGCGTACCTAGCCATCGCAGACGGGGGAAACAAGGTCCGAGTAAGTGAAGGTGCCCACGAATGGGAAAACGGAAAGCAGCTCTTGTACCCTTTTTCCTGTCACGAAGCCACTGCATCCGGTCACGGGAAGTAAGGATCTCACCCGTCGTTCATCACTCCCTACGGCCGGTTGAAATCACGGAAGGGCGCCAAGATCGACGCAAAGGGACGGGAGGCTTCGCTGCTGTTGCTGTTGGAGTGGTACCTACCTGCCTGCCTGCCTGCCACCTACGTATCTACCTCAGCCTGCTCACTCAGCTCCTCAGCTCCTGGGAGGGACTCTCGCGAACCCGATTGCGAATGCGTCTGGTCGGAGGCACGCAAGATGTCTCTATCCCGCTACCCAGCTGCAGTCCTCATTCTTTTCCCATGGACAAAATCCAATATGAACAGATGATCATGGCCAATGGCAGTATGTGGTGTTGAATAAATATTACTGATCAAAACTTGGATGTTTTTGTCTCATGTGAAAAGCCTTGGGAATGAGAAACACGGATACATACCTAGCTAGCTAGACCTACGTGAAAGGCCGGGGCTGACGTGAAGGGCGGGAAAGAAGAATGCACGATGGACGGACGCTTCGACGGGCTGGGTCTCGGAGAAGGGAAAGCTGGCTGTGATGAGGAGAGTTGATTACCTACGATGCTGCAAAGAGGTGAAGGAGTACGGATACTCCGTAGGACAGAATGATGGGACAAGAATTCGATAGTTGATGTAGGTAGATTCAATGCTGGCCCGTGGATAGCTTCAAAGGGGGCTCAAGTTCTATTGATAGGCCGGGCCCCCCCTTTCGGACCAAACTCCGTCCCTAGCTCTGGTTCTAGTTCTAGTAGTATTCCCCTCCGGGCCCTCGTCCTACGATTCTCCCACTCATAACCCTTCTCCTGGCTATTGACTATCAACAGCAAACTCAAATACTGCATGTAGCCACGTCGGCTAACGCCCGAAGGAGCTTACCCCACCAACAGAAGTCTGGCTGTCTAGGGAAGAAAAACGCAGTAGGAGAACGGCAACGACGACGACGGTTTCAATGATTCCAAAGCGCCGTGCCTCAAAACCAAAAGTTCCTCACCCAACGAAGATCTAGGGCCCAGCCACAATGTCTAAGATCGAACCAATCAAGAGCCGTGAGCCGGGCTCAGCTCAGCTGGAATAGGGGAGAACCCGTACCCGTAGGGCCGTAGGCGCACCTCTGAGCTTCGAGGGCTTGAGTTTTCAGCCGCACCGGGCCTGGTACCCGAGTATAGCAAGGTGCTCTTTTCCTTACTGTTTTCCTGCTTTCTACTCTTGCTCCTGCTCCTGCTCCTGCTTGCTGTTGTTTATGCCATGACATATGACATACCCGCCCAAGGAGCTGATTACGGGCGAAACAAATTCATCACCATCATCCTCGTGGGCGCCAACTTTACCCCCTTCAGCCACCTTTCTCAGAGGAGATGAGAGTACCTAAGTGAGCTGTCGAGGGAAAGCAGAAAAGGCAAAAGTTCCCCCGGAGAATGGAGCGGGACCTCGGATGGGGCCTAGAGCCTAGAGCCCAAGGGCCTAGAGCTGAATCGAGAAATGATGTCGTTGAATGTCTCAGCATCGAGAGAAAGAGCGGAGCGTCGAGGTCCGCACCAATAGTCCTTATAAGTCAAAACCCCCATGCCCAAAAGCCCACCCCCATGCCCTGGTTCTTGTTGTCCGCTGGCCGTGACCACTTGTGTGTGGCCACCATATTATATATATTTTATTCTTCTTGTTCTTCTTTCTCTCACGCGGCAGCCTTGCGTCTAAGCACGGCAATAGTCAACCACCTCTTCCGAATCGTCACGTCCTCAATACCGCGGTCCCAAGCCCATTCCCGCTCCTCGCCGTCGCAGTCTCGCTCCCAAATGGATTCGACTTCGAGCCCGGCGTCCGCCAGCGCGGCCTCCTCGAAGAAGCCGCGCATCTTGGGCCGTCCCGTGTGAAACCCGGCCACGACCCAGCACCGGGCCTCGGAGCCTTCTCGCATGAACCAGGCAATGGACTTTTGCAGATTGGCGTGCTGCCAGGGCATCCAGAGGCAGTCTGCGACGAAGAGCCGGTCAAAGGCGTGCTTGTTTGCCAGGGAGAAGGCGTCGTCGAGCTCGCCCCACGAGTGTCCCTCGACCAGGACCTCGCGGGCCGTGAGGGCGCCGGTAGGGGAGACGGCGGGGACGATGTTTCGCGTGGCATTGAGGCGGAGGGACTTCATGACGGCCGGGGCAGGGTAGTCCGTCAGCACTGTGCGTTCCGCGCCGAGGAGGGCGGACATGATGCTCGGCAGTGCGGTGCCGGCGCCCAGCTCGAGGGTGGACATGCCGCGGACGTCAAAGTGCGATAAGGGGGGGCCGAGGCGGACGGGCACGGCGGTGTCGATACCCAAGGTGCCGGCCTCGACGAACTCGCCGAGCTGGAGGCTCGAGTTCCAGAGGTAGTGGCTGAAGAGCTTGCGGTCGTCGGCGGCGTCGGGCTCGGCGAGTTCAAAGGTCAGGGGACGGCGGAGGTGCGGGGATGTGTACTCGATGCCGTTTACGGCGTCGCCGTGCTGGTTTGTGACGTCGTCGGGGAAGATTACGCCGAGGGAGGACATGAGGTAGTCTTCGGGGGACTCGGCGGGCGGGCCGGTCAGGGAGATGCGGGATGTAAGCGCCATTGTTGACAGATAGGAACGGAGAAAGAGCGCCGGGGAACCGGGATGTCGAAGGAGGAGGAGGAGGGTGGGCAGTCGAGACGCCGGAGAGCAAAGGACGACGAGACACCTAAGCGAACGAAAGCGAGTACGACGACGAGGACGAGCTTGACAACGAGTTGCCTGCCGCGAGTAGAGTGCCGTCGAAGCGCAGTGGCGTTGAGGGTATGCGTAATGCAGAAAAGACGACTTGGGCAAATGGGGGAAAATTATCGTCTTTTTTTGGTGTGTGCGAGTGTAAGGACAAGAGGTCAACCGGCGCATGGCGGGGTAGTCGAATTGCCCCGCCATCCACCTCACGAGTTGCGCTACGGATACCTAACAACGTACACTTTCTCTGGCCAGCAGCGGCATGGTGCACAGCGAGTCCGAATCAGCGAAAACCCCCCAACGCCAGGAAAAACAAAAAAAGACCGAGAACGACACCGCCACGAAAACAAGGAACACGTCAAATTCAAAAGATGGGACGAAAGAGATGTGGCGTCTGTCAATGCCGAAAAGATGTCCTCGCGGTGGCACCGACGGGAGGAAGGGGTACGCATACATAGGACGCACAGCCATCAGAGCCGCAAGGAACCGCACTCGCGTCCGCGTCCGCGTCTGATGTCAGTGATGTGGGATGAAAAAATGAGTGTTGAGCCTCACGACGCCACGGCATGAAAGCAACTGCAAGAAATGGGACGGGGGGGGAGGCGTAGAGGACGTGGACGCGCACCACGACACAGGGGCACCGCTGCCCATCAGGAGTTGACATAACCTGCCCATGAGGTGGTTTCTTAGGTAAGTTTGTAAGGCAAGGTAAATGTGTTAATAGTGAGATGGCAGGGTTGATCGCGAGAGTGGGAGCTTCCCTGGAGAGAACCATCAGGATCATCCAGGTCGGTGATAATAGTGCACCGATACTACCTACTCCGTACCCGTATAGTGGTATCCTTACGCAGTAAGCGCGTACGTAGTATGGTACACTACTTTACTTCAAACCTCATCTCTGGGATGCTCTGCAAGGTACGAACCTGGAGCTCGGAGCCTGGACTCCCTGGGACTTGGCCCGGGGGGAAGCAGAGGAAAACAATTACCACGTCGCGGATGCTGCCGCGACACAGCCACACTGGCCACAATGTTTTTTTCCCCTCTACGGAGTACTGGGTAGGTTTCCCGCCTGGGCTGTTCCTCGGTCGGTGCGTTGGGGGCCTCTTCAGGGACCACATTGCCGGAGAAAATCGTCGTCAGCGGGGTCCTTTTTTCTGCGTCTCCATCCTTTCTTCCAGTGGACCGTACCTAGGTATCAGTGGAGGGAACCTAAGCGCAGGTGGCTGTGCAAACAAATCGCTGCAGACTGCAGAGTGGTCCCCCCCATAGCCGAAGCTTAGCACTGCTAGTGGACTCGCAGGAACCCGCATCCCGACAGTGGTGACCTTCCGCTCCACCCCTCTGGGCTCCCTCTCCCTCCGTCATCACTACCTACCGTAGGTAGCAACACCACCACTAAAGAACCTCACAGAGGAGACCGAAAAAAAAAAAGATAGAGGTAGTGAGTGCAGTGCAGTGGCTGTGCCGCCCTGTGCCGTCCACTCGCACCCGCATCCGCAAACCAGATCCTTTCTCTGCCCCAGATCCAACCATACAGTACACACACACACACTACTTTCGTCCATTGAGTTTTCCAAAGTTACTCTCTCCAATGTGCAAAATGCTTGTAATTAGTAGTACAACCACACTCTCACACACGCGCACACACACACCGACAATACACTAGACTGCGGCCACAACATGTGCATGCCACTTATGCATGGCTATTTTCATCCTCCCTCGGGTCATCCTCCTCCTTCATTATACACCTCACCACAGCATAAGGTATCATGCTTACTTACGTAGTTACGTACCCTGACACGAACAAACGTAAGCCGTACCTTACATCTTCGTCCCATCGTCATCAACCATCCGTCCGTCCACCACCCTCGATCCCGAATCCCGTCAGCATGGCCCCCTCCTCCCTTCTCTGGCCAGCCACAGGCACGGGTACGGGCTACCTAAACAGGCCGACCACCGGCCACCAGTATCCCTCATCCTCATCGGCTCATCCTCCATCACTCGCGGCAGAGCGCGGAAGTCGGAACCACTGACCACTAACTTAACCACTCGCCGTTCGCCGTTTGTTCTTGCTGCCTGGCACTCTAGGATCTTGGGACTAGACTAGCCAAGGTCGCACAAGAACCAAGGCACGCAAGGCAACCCACCCACATCGTGATTCGTGATCAATCTGGCAGTCTGACACGCCTGATAGGGATCTTAGGGCCAAAGAACAAAACCCCCCTCCATCACCATCCCCGATCCGGTAATACCGCTGCGAGTCTTCGGCACGACTATCCCATGATTCCCATACAGCCCGTCCACACTCCCTTGCTTGACACTATTGCTGCCGATCTTTGCTGCCAATCACTGACCCTGTCGCGCTGTCAAAACCGTCAGCCTGTTCCTGTTCCGTCATCCCTTGTTTCCGAGGTGTAATCAGATCGGGATTCGTTCTCCAAATCGCATCATTACCCATCTATACCCGAGGCATCACGGTTGTAAGCTCATCACGGCGAGTGAGAAGAGTGGGAATAGTGACAGTGAAAGTGAGAGTTGACAAGTATCTCTTGTTTATACCGTCGAGCCTTGGGCTGTAATATAGTATAGGGTATCAATCAAATGCTCCTTCTTCTTCAAGGTGCAAACAACATGGAACTTGTTCCGTCCAATCATGAACCTCATGTCCCTCCCGTCCTCGTAAGCCAGTCGTTGTAGTCCCGTACAAGTCTGCGCCAAACCATGCAACACCAAAATGTAGTGTAGAGATTTTTTTTCCGCTCGTCAAAATCGCTCCCGCCCAAAAAAATGAATGGAAAAAAAGAAACAAATGTAGCATCCCCATGATATTGTCCTCCGCCGCCTTCCATTACTGAGCCGCCTGGCAGCTCTCAAGCATCGCCTGCATCTCCCGCAGCTGCTCCTCAGTCGGATCGTCAGAGATCCAGGGTCCCTTCTCCTCATCCGTAGCGCCAAGGAAGCCCTCGGCACGCTTCAGCGTCTGCACGTCCAGGTCTGTCACGTAGTTGTTGCCGTCCGTGAGCTTGATGCGCACCTCGTGATCCGTCGACAGCATCATGTCGTCCTTGGCCAGTCGCCGGGGTCCATCAAACACTGCCATCACCCGCTTCTTCATCGTCATCTGGCCCTTGTCGAAGCCCCAGGAAGAAGGGTAGTCGCGTCTGTTCTTGCGACCCTTGGCCTTGACAGGCATAGGGCCGCCTCCACGGGAGTGCGTGAGGCCGCGCGACTTTTGAACACCGTTGACCGGGTTGCCCTTCCTTTTGGGCGACGCGCTGACGCGCTGCTTGCTGTCTTCCTCGTCATCGTCCTCCATCATCTCCTCGTCGTCCTCCTCCTCGTTCGAGGGCATCTGCGTTTGCGTGGGCAGATGGTTCTTCTCCAATGTCTGGTGCACTTCCTTGTCGTTCTCAACCTCGGCCAGGCGCTGGGCGTTGATGGCCTCGGAAGGGTCCTCTTGCTGCACAATGCGCAGCACACAGTCGTCCAAGTGCTCGTAAAAGTCCTGAGCGTTGGAGAAGGTCTGCGAGCAAGTGGAACACTTGCCGGTGGCATCGGGAGGGTATCCCGCGAGCTTCTTGCCGCTGTTGGCGCTGCTGCTCTTCTTGCGACTGTTGGGTGGTGTCTGCTCGACGCCGTGAACGGCTGTCAAGTGACGCTTGAAGACATCGGCGCGGTTGAACGACTTCTCAGCCGCTGAACCGGAGCCGGGGCAGAAACCGCACACCATGGTTCCCTTGTAGTGCGTCAGGGTGTGGCGGTTCTTGTCGTACTTGCGAGCGAATCCCTTGACGTGGTAGTCGCAAGTCACAATCGGGCACTTTTCAGGCCGCTCAGTCTGGTGAGTGAGCATGTGCGCCTTGAGGTCTTTGAAGACCTTGCCGCACTCGGGATGGGGGCATCTTTGCTTCTCCTTGCCCTCATCGCCGCTGTAGTTGTTGCCATCAGAGTAGGTTGAGGGGAATGAGTGAAGGCTGGGGCGGCGGGCGTCACCGGGAGTAGCGTAAGGGCTGAATTGCTGCTGCTGTTGGAAGCCGCTGTGGAGGAAGGGCGATTGACTGCCGTTGCGAACCATTGACATTGACTGTGATGAGGGCGAGAGGGCAGGCGAGGTGGGATACTGGTTGGGGTTCTGGAAGTTGGCCATCATGGGGCGGCTGATGTCGGGGTGGATCAAAGAAGGGTCTGGAGCGGAGAGGTAGTCAGCGGGCAATGTGCGATAAGGAGGATGATGCTGCTTGACAGAGGAAAACCAACAGGAAGAACCAAGAGGAGCGATGAAATGGCCGCTGCTCTGAGAAAAGAAAGTAGAGACTCGAGGAGTCTTTGGCGAGTGGCCCCAGACAGGCGCCGGAGGAGAAGAGAAGGAAGTAGAGCTAGGAGAGACAAAGGACAAGCTTGACTTGCGCGATGCGGGCGTGACAGGGGATGAGGAGGACGAGTGAGTATCCAGCACCGGGCCCGAGTCGCGCACGCGCACAGCTGAAGCTATAGCTGTATTGGAAGAAAGAGAGCCAATTGACTCGTGTGAAGCAGAAGGAAAAGAAGAAAGCGCGCGAGATGAGGGCGCAAGAGTGGTTCTAGAAGCGTTTGGCAACTCACCCACGAAACCCGGGGGCTTGGTGTTTGCAAATTCGAAAGTTGCAAAGTCTTCCATACCTGGGCCGGCGTAGGTCGAGTACTCTGTACCGGCGGTGTTGTAGTAGTCGTGGGGCACGATGCCCGGGGTCACAGCGATGCCGGGGTGCGCCCAGTCGAGGATTGGCGCCGGCTGGTCGTTGTGGGATTGGGGCGAGCCTACGTTGGAGGAGGCCGCCGATGGTGCTGATGCAGTAGAAAGGTTGGAAGAAGGCAGTTGGAACTCGGCGTCCTCGTAGAGGCCAGGTGATGTGCGTCCTTGGTACATAAAGTTGTTGTCGTAGAGGGCGGGCTGGTGATCCATTGCCATGGAGGTTGGGAACAAGTAAGAGGCGTCGGCAGGGATGCTCATCTCCATGGGTGCTGTGCTGAAGACTCCCTGTGGTGGCTCAGGGTAAAGAATGTAGTCGTCGTGGTGCTGGGGGCTCAAGTGCCTGGGGAGCATGGTATATGACTGGTCTATCGAAGCCATTTTGTACGAGGTAGATGTGTGTGTGTATGTATGTATATGGTGATGCGGGTGAAGAGAGAGGTAAAGGGTGATGACCTGTGGAAGGCCTCTCGGTCAAATCCGAGTTGCGAAGTCGCAGAGTTGATGTTATATGGTTGGTTGGTTTGCTGTAGCTGTCGCTCAGTCCGAAGCAAAGCCACACAGTTGCCTTGTATTATGCCGTCACTGCTATTCTTCCCACTGCTGTCAGTCGTCTGTACTATTTGACCTGCTAAAAAAACTGCTGCGCTGTGCTGCGCCTGCTTTGGATGTGGGGCTGGTGAAGCGCACCTGCAGCGATGTTCATGCCCGCGGCGTTTCCGCGTTGTGAGGTACCGGGCCGTTGGATGATTGGCGAATGCTTTCTCTTTCTCTCTCTCTCTCTCTCTCTCTCTCTCTCTCTCTGTCTTTCTCCGAGCTTTACTTTGCGCGCGGTAGTATGCCTCCGAGGATATGGTTCCTGAATATTTGCCGCGTCAAGTAACCAAGTGTAGTAACAAGAGAGTTGTTGCTGGCGAGAGTGAAGTAAGAGACGGTTTGGGTGGAGGATGTCTTTCTTGAAAAACGTGTGAAAGACTACTAGGTGATGGACCGTTGTCTTGGTGTCGTGAGTATCCAGAGATCTGGGTCTGATAGATAGATGTAGAGACTGATGGGGGCGAGAAACAAATCACCAAGAGCCTTGGGGGCTTCACGACTGATATAGACCGGCTGCGAGCTACGCTCTTGTCGAGAGAGAGAGACAGACAGACGCAGAGACAAGAGACCACCACATCTTGCAGACCGGGGGCACATGGGTTCGACGGCCGTGGCTTGCTTGCTGTTGGCACTTGGGGACCCGGTGGACGACGCGGATCAGTCTCTTCCAGATGGTGAACCCCCAAAGACGACAGGGGACCAAACGCCCAGGGGGCGGAGGTCGTAGGGCAGAGCAACAAGCAAAAGCGACGAGAGCGAGCAAGCGGCAGCGGCAGCAGCAACGCCAGAGTTAGAGGCGGTACCGTACCGTACGCCGACCTTGCGGCAGGGGTCAGGGGTGCGTCGAGCGGAAAGGGGGCGTGGTGGAGAGGAGGGTGGTTGCTGGAGACCTCGACTTGGGTGTGTGGTGGGCGTGAGCCTTGTCCATGGGGTGTGTGGGTGGTGTGCGTGCATAGACCAGACGAGAGGCGGCTTCTTCTTCCCTCGTTCTTGTTGCTCCTCCTCCTCCTCCTCGCCTGTCTGCACCATCCCCTCTTGTCCCCTCTGCTTCCGTGGATACCTCATTTAGCGCAAGATACGCACCCAAACGAACTAGCCTTGCTTGACTTGGCTCGAGGGACTCGGCCTGAGGGCGCCGGGTAAGTAGAGCCACGAAACAGCGCCCATTCCAGACTCGGTTTTTCGACCTTCGACTGCGAGCCTTCTCGACACTTTCAAGAGACTCAGAGAGAAGGGGGGTGGGGGGGTGTCCTTCTTCGTTGTCTCTGCCCACCGATGCGGGATGCCAAGATCTGTCTCTGAAAAGGTCTCTCATTTCTATCCGTTGTGCTCTCTGAGCCGTCTGCCGCGGTGGTGTGCCACAGAGACAGACAGTCATTAGCTTTGGAGCGAAAAGGAACCATCTGTCGTTGTCCACAACACACCTCGACAACTTCTGTACGCCGTATGCGTTGATGGAGACTGGTATCTGGGAACGAGATGGTGACGGACGGCCAGACTGCGCAGTCGCAATGGGCACTTGAGAGCTCTGGTACTCAGTACTTTGCTGGCTAAGCTGGTGGCCTCCGACAACCAGGCCTCACACCCACTGCCGCGCTACAGAATGGCAGCCAGCACCCCCTTGGGCCAGTGCTGACCAGGGCCGCCAGACTCTCAACAGCTTGGGCCTTGGTACATCCCTGACATCAAGAAGTACGGTAGACAATACTTCTCGCATGTACAGTCGGCCTGCGGAGCAGAATCAAGTTGTGTCCACTGGTGCAGACCCTGGTATCTGGCTAAACCCCCCTTGAGCGTTCGAGTGCTCTCGGGTCCTGTCCCAGTAGACGCGAGGGGCCTGACAGGGGCCCCAAATGAGACAGGCAGCGAAGGTGCAGAAGCTGTACGAAGCATTCCCAGATAGTAACTTGTCAGGCCCAAGAGCCTAGTTGGGAGTCTCCGTCTGCAGCTGTAAGTATCTCACTTCGTAGTCTGGTAGCCTGTTGGCAGCGTACGAAAAAGCAGAGCCGTTCCTCCGCCAGTCAGGTGTGGTGCTTGGGGCGTCGCTCTCCGCCGCCGCGGGATACCGTCGGTATGATTTGGATCTATTGACCCGTCTGCTGTGGGAGGTGTTGACGTCGCCGCAACCGGGTTGGAAAGCACTGCACCAAGTGCCTACTCCGTAGGGCTCAATCATCCGTTTCCGCTCTGCTGCCGGCCATGCGTCCAGCGTCCCTTGGTCCGTCCTCCATGAACAAGGAGATATATTGGATCGCCAGTGCACATGCAGCTCATGTCGCGAGCCCGGTCTGCACAATGACAAAAGTATTCGTACGTCTCTGGGTCTATGCAGCGCTTTCTTCTTCCTGTACCACTCTCCCATCAACTCTCACATCGAAAAAGGCGTCGCAACTTTCGACCGTGCTGTAAATTCAAGGACCTGGAAACAGCAAGCGGTATATGCAAGGTCCTGCATATGCTGACGGACGTAAAGCAACGTGAGGGTTCGAAAAAAAGAAAGTTGACTTGGAAATAGTGTGCATGAAGCACGTCCAACAGCCACAGCCCCCTTTCGCCAATCTCAGAGCCAAATGTGGATAGCAATAGCCAAAGTTGTATCTTGAGGCGACAACAACTCGCCAGTGTGCGTCAGATGCGTCAGTGACAGCTTGGGCACTCCGCATGTTGGCCTCAAAATGGCATGACTTGACTCCAAAATGGGGTTTATCGTCAGTGAGGGGGGAGCGGGTTATTGTGGAGGCACTGGCGGGAGGTGCTGCGGTGTACTTTCTCCCACACTCTACGAGTCTGTCTGTATTCGTGCTCTGTGTCTGTAGGTCGCGCCGGTACACATATGGTGTTGTGTTGCTTACTCTAGGTAAGGTGTCGACGTGGTTGAGGGGCGGATTATTTTTACTCACTGCACACTGCGGGTGCTCGTGCGGTGCTGAACAAGCCTCGTTCATCCCAGGCCCAGGGATCTCTCTCATTGCGATTTTGTACATGAGTGTGGGAGTTGGCCCAATGAACGGCGTCGCGCCTCTCTCCACGCTTGCAGCCCGTGGCAGCACTTTGGTGTGCAAGCCGGGCCCGCCTTCGACTTGTTGGTGTGCACAGCCCGGCCTTATCCGTCCCTCTAAGTTGTTAGTCGAAGCCTTTAGAGGTTGGACATGACATTGGATGTCCTGCAGTCACCCCATATTGCGTTGTTCCAGGCGGTGCCTGGAGTGTGGGTAGCACTGTTGACTGGATATAGCGACCTCGAACCATACGACGGCGCCTGTGCCTCCTCAAAGGTAATGGGATCATGTACGGGCCGGAGAGAGAATCTGTACCGATCCATGTCTTCGTGACGGCCACTAATGTTGCTATTCCTCCCGCCCTTCCTTGGGACGGCGATGCGTGTCAGCATCTTGTTCGCGGCATCGTGTCCCAAAACGGTATCGGGGCAGCTCAATCTTGTCAAGCCTCCAAGTTCCAGTGTGCGGGACAGCTTGCATCGTACATGTTCGACTGGCAGAGACAATAAGGTGGGCTGGTGATTCAAAGTCTTCCTTGAGAACAGCCGTCCGGCCACCGGCCACGACACGCGGCAAAAACATCGAGTTTCGAAGAATCGGGACGACCCAAATAGAGTTCCACGACCCAAGCGGCGTGACTGAGTCTCTTGTCTGTGATGCCATGCCAATCCGGGCTGGCGGGTTTGTTGGCTGGTCCATGGGTTCAGACGTTGGAAGGGTTCCAGAGCCGTTCGGTCATAGTCATCGCACGCTAGAGGCACCACGTCGCGGCACCGCTCTCTAGAGGCGTATTCCATCCAGTCGATGGCCAGAGTTCGAAATGGCCCAGCCCGAGACTTGATCTTGGTGCAACCGGCCCCTTGGGAAATGTATGTGCGGCAGGTGGAGACCAAAGTTTTGGTGGTTAGATGCCTCTCTTCGTCCTCAGTCCTCATGCCACCAAGCACCGGGCCACGATGAGACAAAAGACTAGTGCCGACCTCTGGAAAGATTCACATTGTTGCCATTCAACGCCTCGTCTCTATTGTGGCAGGCAAGCCAGTGCTCCTAGATAGCCTTTCACGGTTTGTTGCTTTGGCGTTGCCTCGCGACGACTTGCCACGGCGGTCTCAAGCCTCTGCACAGAGTACGACACGTCGAGCTCCTGGATAACTATGTGCGTCGCATCGGGTTGGTGAATTCGAGACGTGAAGCCGGACCATTGGAACATCATCATCCGCCGGCGTACCAAACAATGCCTTCTTGCTAGCGCGCAGGAGTGTGATGGAAATTGAAGTAATTCACTAGTCTGCGTGGGATTACGGCCGTTGCCGCACGGGCTGAGCAAGGGCAATCTCACGCTCTCCCAATCTTGTAATCCGTAGAGGTCGCTAAACTTGACGATGTTGCTTCTTGAGTTGTCGCTAATGCCCTGGAGAGTAACATTGACCAAAGCATAGTTCGCAATACCAGTCGCATTCAGACGTACACGCATAGGGTGGTTTCGCTTGGCGAGATTCGATGCGCTACTGACCAAAGCATTCCGCATCATGGGTCGGCGGCCGGGGCAGCTCACACGAGGCACCCATGGAAGCCATGGGGAACTCGAATTGTCTCCGCACTGCGAAAAAAACCGTAGAGAGCCAACGTGGGATAACATCGTCCATCGAGACATGTCGCCCGATTAGGTGTAGCGGTGGCTCATCTGCCCGAGACTCTGGTTGGGAGCCTCTGATTGGCGCTTTTACGGCTCCCGCTATCCTTGCCGTGTAGATAGTCAAAATCTTTAAAAAGAAATCCAGGAGGCGGTGCAACCTTGCCGTCGTTCACCAGCCCCGATGAACCCCAACCTTGCCAAGGGCTGCCACCCAGATGCCAGGACGGGTGAGGGCAGTGTTCAGTGACTTGAGCGTCCACCAATGTTTCATGCTCGTGGCACGTAGTGGTACCTTGCACTGGCCGGCTTGATTCCATCCCGTTTTCCTGGGAACATGGATGCGCCTTACCGACCCGGATTTATTGTCCCTCAGAAACCCTGCAGTCATCAAACGTGGAAGCATGTCGATAATTGGCATCTAATATTGCCTGGCTCGCGGGACAGAGGATGATGCATGTACGAACATCTGTAGGTGGCATCCTTTGCACGGCGTATTCCTTCCGTCATCTCGTGTTTATGGCAACGTCATGTGTGCTCCTTGCGACCCGTACAACGCTATCGGTTGATCAAATTTGACCACGGAATTCTGACTTCGACGGTCGGCTCTCTTGGTCACCGAGGATGCGTAGGTTCGTTCCGAGCAACGCAAGTAGGGATGTCGTGTCGACTTGGATGTGGTGCTCGCCGAGACTCAAAGATTCTCGCCGGAGCTTGTGGTGTTAGCCTGGTGTCTCTGATTCCGAAAAACGTTTGGTCAGAAGGGCTTGTATGCCGGCCGGGACTTGCAATACTCCAATAACCAGCCAAACGGAATCTGCCATGCTCTTCTCCTCCTTGGCGCACCTGTGCTGATGCGGGTTGCAAGCGTCATCTCGTCTTTAGACCCGCGTGCCATTGCTTCGAATGAAGCAGCCCGTAAGTGAGACTCGACCAAGGTGGTTGATAGCACGGGGCAGAGAAGCCCCCAAGCCCCTTGTTCTACGAGCACACACATTGCATGCTTTCGTTTGGTGGCTTGCTGAAGCTCAAGGGTCTTCGTGTG